GGAAGCACGCCTGCTTCTCAGCAGGCGCGGGCCTCGTCTGCAGGTGTACGGCCCGCGCCTTCTAAGGAGCGGCCTCCTCCTGAGAAGCCTTCCCCCCCCCCCCCCCTGCCCTCCTCCCAGACCCCCGACGTCATGATTTTTCCTAACGTCGACTTTGGAGGTCTCGACCACTCCTCGGGACCGGCTTTTTATCCTGAGTCGTTCTTTGGCGGTCCCGAGGGCCAGGAAGGGCCTCCAGAGGCTGAGAACATGGAAGAACCTCCCGCCGTGACTTTGTCGTTGCCCAAGGGGGGCCTGGGTTGTGCGCGTCGCCAAGACACGCTCGCCATTCGCTCGCAAAGCATACAGCGCGTCGCCCGGGTCAGCCGCCCAGGCGCGCGGAGCAAGAGGTCGCATCCCGACCGCACAGAGAGTCCCAGGCTTACGTCGGGCCTGTCCCTCGACAGGGGGAATATTCAAAATAGTTTAAACAATAGTCTGGGGACTATTTTTTAATTCATTTTTGCGATTTGTTTTGTATGCTTTTGTATTTCTAATTTTTCGTCCACAATCGGCCTGCAGGGGGACAGGACCGACTTAATCCCAGGCCTCCCACGCCCTGCCTCTCTCGAGGCCTCCCGGCACCGCCGATGCCTCGGCGAGGCGGCTCGACGTGGAGCCCGCTGTGCTTCACGTCGACGTCGCCGCTGCACCGCCGACGTCGCCGAGGAAGCGCTGGAGCGTCACCGATGCCTCGCCCAGGCTCCGCCGTCTTGTCGGCGATGCGGCGCGATCCTCCGACCCCATCTGCTCCGACCCCATCCAGGAGGCCTCTGCTGTCCTGCCCCCATCCCCGATTCGAGTTCCAGTCTCACCCCCTAGGTTGAGATTCTTCCGGGTGCCAAAAATTTCAGGGGACGATGTCTCTATTCTGTTTGATAATGTTTGAATCTGTTTTGGCTATGTCTTATTCATGTTCCAAGATTTGGCGCCGGCAAGAGCTGCCAGGCCTGCCGGCTGCTAATCTGAAACCCTCTTCGTTCTTACAGGTATCTTTCGACAGCAAGTCATGGGAGCCTCGTGTGCCCTCATAATCCCGTCTTTGGCGTCGGCTAGCGCCGATTAGCGTGGATTAGTGTCTGGGCGTTGATGAGATTGCACCGATGTGGCGTCGGCTGGCGTCGATTTAGCGTCGATTTAGCGTCGATCAGCGCCGACTAGCGTTGATCAGCGTCGGTTCGCAAGAGCCGACAAGATGGCACGGCAGGCTCCCGGGAGCTGCCGCCGAATCATCCGGGAGCTTCCCCTCCCCCGGCGCGCCGCCAGCCCAGGGAGCCTGCCACGCCCTTCCGTGGCCCTCTCCCGTGCAGCCCAGGGCGCGGCCGCCCCGCTTTTCGAACTCAAGAGGCCTTCGACAGAGACGAGGAGGATTTTGGATGCAAGTCGCGTTTCTAAGTACATTCAGCAGTTCAATTCTATCGCGAACTGTTTCACTCCAATCGACGTTTCCATAACAATAAACAACTATTTCCCCTCGGGCTAATTCTCCCTGCGGCCCCTCGGGGAGAGGAGCGCCCCCGGGAAGCGGCGTTGCAGCCAACCCGCATAGCAGGGATGAGCGCTTCTCCAGGGGTGCCCCTGCACCAGCGGCGCGAGCAGCGCGGCCTGCGGGCCCTGGGCGCCAGGAACGGAGCACGAGGCCACCAGTTCCGGCGCAAGTGCCGGCCTTGGGGTGCCCGTGGGCGCCGCGAGCCACGGGAGCCAGTTCTGCGCCAGGTGCGGCGGAGGGACGTACAGTCGACCCACATGGCAAGGATGCGCAACCTTCCACCTCCTCCTCCTCCTCCTCCTCCTCCTCCTCCTCCTCCTCCTCCTCCACCCCTGCGCCCTCCCCCTGAGGCCCACCCTCCGCCGCTTTCGCTGACGGCGCCCCGCCCGCAGAGTGCCGCCATGGCCTTCCGAGGCCCTTGGCGTCCCTACCGCGCATCCCTGTCGCACGGGCTGGCGTCATGCAGGGGCGCTGCCGGGGGGCTCCTCCGGGACTCCCTCTGGGCCAGGCAGCCAAAGCTGGCTCTCAGGAGGCCAGTGACACGACGTCAGGGGGAAGCAATTAGTGGACCCCCCCCCTCGGTCCCCCAAGCTCAAAGTTGGCACGCGCGGGGGAGACTGCGGTCGAAGTGGAGCTCACCAGACCCACCGCCAACTTTGAACACGGGGGAGGGGGAGGCGTGGACCAATGAATGTGGCATGCGTGTTCGCTGCTTTCCGGGGCCTGGATCAAGATCATGCCTGGAAGCGGGATGCACGACTTGGCCAGCCCGTAGGGGAACGAACAACGACATAAACATGACAATTCGGAGGTCCGCGCAGGTTTCTCGCATCCGCGCTGGACCCCCCTGGCGGCGCCTCCGGCGCCGCCCCTGGCGCGCTCCGCGCGCCAGGGAGGGGGGTCCGGCGCCGATCCGAGAAGTCCGCGCGGACCTCCGAGTTCTGATGTTTCTGCCATTGCTCGTCCCCCTAGTTCTTATGTTCTTATTTGTGTGTTTTTATTTGTGTGTCCTGGGGCCCCATTGTTTGTCCGCGCGGACCTCCGAGTTCTTATGCTTATGTCGTTGTTCGTTCCCCTGGCCTGGGCGAGCGCTGGCCAGCCCCTCTCCGCAGCGTCCGGCCCCCGTCGAGCGGTCAATATCGCGCACCAGCCACCGATATACACCTTAGGCGATGCTCAAGAAAACTTCAGTTTTCGGCCAGAGTCTCCCGATTATTCTTAATGTTTCAATGTAACTCCTAAGATGTTGATCGAAATTCTGGGTTTCCATTAAATTCTGAGACTACGAATTTCTTAACCCATGATTTCTGCAGGGTGTAGGCGCGCGGATATCCAGCAGGCGGCCTCTCCGCACAGAGAGGGCCCCACGGTGAGAGCCCCCGGCGGCCGCGCGTGTGCTCCAGCAGCCCGGCGTGCTCGCCTCGGGCCGAACGCAGCCCAGGGGGGGATATAGGGAGAGGGGCGTTGCGAAGTCTGCTGCTCGCGGCCCCAGACGTGATGGCGGCGTGAAAGCTTCAGGGCGGAGGTTTTTCGCCGCTCTCGGCCTCATGGGGGCCCTCGCGGGGCCCCGGGGCCGTCAGCAAAAAGACTCGCGGGAGGAAGAGCCGGTCCCGGGGAGAGGGTGGAGACTCCCGGGGGCGCCGTACTGAAAAGATCAGGAAGTCGCATGTCTTGGGATTTACGAGATCTGCTGCATGCAATGGGTTTCTCGGCCACGCGCAGAGGGGGCTGGAGGGAGGGGGTCAGGCTCCTTAGAAGCACCCCCGGTTCTCAGAAGGCGCCAGTCCTGCATCTGTAGACAAGGCCCGCGCCTTCTAGGAAGCAGCCTCCTTCGAAGAAGCCTGCTCCCCTCCCCCTACCCCCTTGTGCGGGCCGCCCAGTTCCGGCGGCCCGCTGCCGAGGTCATATTCCTCGATGCGTGGGCGCTTCCCGGCGCCGGGTAAGCCAGTTGCGAAAGTTGATTCTTTGCCCTGTCTTTTGCTAGGCTACCCTTTCGCTCCCCCGATCCCTGAGGTCGGTGTTTCAATCGTGGGGCCTATGAGGGATGGGGCCCTGCAGTTCAGATCGGCGGCGAGCGAGGGGGGGAAGTGAACAGGAGAGGGTCTTCTCAGAAGACTGCGGGGCTTCTCAGAAGGCTTCCGGCTTGCTGAGAGGTTTTCTGTTCTTTCGGGGGAGCCTCAGAAAACTTCTCGATAGGCTGGGGGGCTTCGGAGCCTTCTGAGAAGACCCGCCCCTTCTCACTTTCCCCCCAGGCTCGCCGCCGAACAGAGGAGGAAAAGGTACCGATACCGCTGCCCTTCCTTGTTTTCCCCTGCTGGGGCCACCCATGCTCTCGTCGCCACGGCCGGATTCACGTCGGAATGCTGGTCAGAACGCACCCGCCATGTCTGATGGCCCAGGGGCCCGACAGCGAGCCCCAGAGGCCGAACTCGACGGAAAAGACACCCCAGTTGAGACAAGCCTGCGCCTCGGGAGTCCGGGCGAAGGGTCTCTGTCCAGGGCAGTTCTCTGGGGCGGGGGCGGGTCCACAGCCACCGCCTGGGGGATCGACCTTCCGGGGGCGGCGGATACAGTCGGGGCCCTGAAGAAGGAACCCTTTTCGTTGGGGAGGGGCTCCGCGTTCCTTAAGTGTTTCACAGCTTGCCTCAGGTTTTCCTTATGTTTCCGATAGGAAATCGAAGTTTAACTTATGGAAAAAGGGGCCTCGTTCCTTATTTAGGGTTCCTTAGGTCAACGCCCCGACTGTATGGACACATTCCGGGGCCCCTGGGGCCAACATATATCCAGACCCACCGCCCGCTGGGGTCCCAGGGCGTAGGTTCCACAGGCGGTCGCTGTGGCTAGAGGCTGCTGATCTGCAGACGCTGGCACGTAGACCTGCGTGGGGGGGGGAGAGACGGGCGGGCGGGGCGGTGCCCGAAGGAAGATCTGCGCCTCGCGCCAGCCGGCACCCATTCGCACGCCTCTCTCAGAGCCGCGGGGGGGAGCGCGGGCGGGCTGGCTGCGGGGGGAAGGCGGAGGGCGGGCCGGGTTTGGGGGAGGGGGAGCTTGTCATGCAGGTGGGCTTGCCAGAGTCTGCGGGGAGCTGCGCTCCTGCATCGCCTCCGCCACAGGACAGAAGTACGCAGTGTACACGCTCCATGGGATTGTTCCTGGGCCTCCGGGGAGGGTGGCGGTGCACAATCACCACTGGGACCCAGCGACTGTCTACACCGCCGCCATCCCTGAAAGCACATGCAACGTTCGTCGGAGGGCGTCTGTGTATATATTTTGAAGTCGGGCATGTCCCTCTACAGGAGGAGTATTTAAGAATAGTAAAACCTAGTACAGTTACGATGTTTCGTGCTCCTTTGATCATATTGTATTGCTTCGTTGTGTTGTGTTTTTCGTCCAACATCCGTATGTAGGCGGACATTCCCGACCTAAGGGAAGCGGGAGTGGCGGCAGTATCCTCTCGGCGTATTCCTGGCCCGTTGGTCTGCCCGTGTTCTACCTGTCCTCCTCTAGTCACCCCCTCCACTAAGGATCGGGGAAGCGTAAGACTTCAGTAATGACGCCGGAACTCGGGTCTGTCGACGCTTTCTGAGAAGCGCGTCCTGGATTTTAGCGGTCCAGTCTTCGCGGAAGAGTCAAATCTCGTCGGAGGGCGTATGTGTATACACATATATATATATATGTATATGTGTATCTGTATGTATGTATTACTTGCTATTTATATAATATTATATATATTTATATATAAATGTGTGTATATGTCTATATATATATGTATATGTATATGTATATATATATATATATATATATATATATATTCGTGGCGGGATCCCCGCCTCGCAGCGCCTGCGCGTCCTCGGCCGCCGCATCCTTCCGCCCCCCGCGGCGCGCCTTGGGCCCCGGCGCGCGACCCCGCCCGCGACCCGCCCGCGACCCACCCCCCGCGAGCCGCCCGCGAGCCGCCCCGCGAGCCGCCCCCGTCGCTCCGGTCCGCCATTGCGGGGTGCTACACAGTTTGAAGTCGGGCCTGTCCCCCTAAAGGGGGATTTTCTGCGAAACATGAAAAAATCCAAAAATAGTATGGGGATTTTTTTTTGAGCATTTTTTGCCTGTTTGGGAGCATTGTTGGGGTATCTTTCATTTTTCGTCAAAAATCCCCCTGTAGGGGGACACGCCCGACTTAATCATAGCTTCGTGGCGCGATCCCCGCCTCGCAGCGCCTGCTCGCCGTCGGCCGCCCCAAACCTGCGGCCCCATCGCGGCGCGGCGCGGGCCCCCCGAAGAGCGGCGCGCGCCCGCGGCAGGAGGTGGAGCTCGGGCTGGCGCGGCTCTGCCGGGCCACCGGGGACGGCCGCTACCTCCGCCTGGCCAGGTACTGCCCCGCGGCCGGCCGAGGGGGCCCCACGGTGGCTCGGGGCGCGATGCAGTGGAAACCCCAGGGGGCAACGATAATCCGATTGCCTTGGCACCGCTTTGAACCTGTTCAAGGAGCTTCAAAGCAGTGCCCTGGCACTGCTTTGAACGTTGTCACGGGGGAGTCTCACATGCGACGTCGGATGATGGTGCTGATGATGATAGGCACAGAGGGGCGATGTATCGACGGGGGATGCACAGGGGGGGGGGGGGAGGCATCGACCCCCAATCGCCCATTGATCATCGATAGGGGCCCGATAACTGGCCCCGATCTGCCCAGGAGCGTGCGGATTCACTGTCGGGGGCCTATCGCCGATCGATCGGTGGTGTGTCGCCGATTCCAGGTACTGTCCCGCGGCCGGCCGAGGGGGCCCCACGGCGGCTCTTGGCGCGCTGTAGTGTCGGCGGCGAGCTCAGGGGGGGAAGGGGGGTGAAGTGAGAAGGAGACGGCCTTCTCCGAAGGCGGCGGGACCTCTCGGAAGCCCTCGCTGCTCATTGAGAAGTTTCCGGCGTCGTTGGGGGACGCTCAGAGAAAACTTGTCAGGAGGCGGGGGGGGGGCTTCCGAGCCTGCTGAGCAGGCCTGCCCCACGGTGGCCCGTGGCGCCATGCGGCGGAGACCCATGCCAAGGAACCCTGCTTGCCTCCAGCGGAGACGAAGACACACCGCAGACATGAACTTTTGGCGCTCCGCGCGGACTTCTTGGATCTGCGCTGCCCCCCCCCCTTCCCCGGCGGCTCCTCCCGCGCGGGGACCCCCCTCAGCGCGCCAGGGAGGGGGGTCCAGCGCAGAGCCAAGGAATCCGCGCGAAACGCCAACAGCTTCTGCTTCTGGCGTTTTGTCTTCTTGCTTTGTCTTGGGTCCCGATGGTTTTGCTATGGAAAGCGTGACGCTCCCATACAAAAGTCCTTGAACATCCCAGGATTGCATGCAGGGGTGGGTTTCTTGTGGTTGGTTTCTAGTGGTCGAGTTCCTTTTGTACATGGGGAGCGATAAATTGGGGGGCAGCGAGGGCTTCAGGAAGGGGACCTCCAGGGCTTCGAAAGGGGCACCTTTCTTTCCCCCCCACTTATGGCCCCCCCATTGATTCGCGCTGAAGTGGTTGACCGGTATGATCGAAATTGGCACGGAAAGAATAGACTCAAAGACCAACAGCGGTTCATCTCCATGTTGAGCAGGGCTCGCTCTCCGTGCCGCCGCGGGCGTTGTCCATTTGAGACAGAAGGCCGCCTGCCCAACAGCGGGCCCTTCATGTCTTGAACAACGTTTGCTGTTGGGCATCGTACCCATGGTCTGCGTACCCATTTCGGGCGTCCAAAGCTGAGGGGGTATGGGGTCACCCCAGGAGGTCTTTCTTGTTCAGATGATGACAAGTTGACTTGCATGTCACTTCGCACCCCCCTGGCTTCTCTTCTTGACAGCGCGTGGCCGAAAAGGCGTGCGGGTGAGTCACTACTCGAGTGAAGTCCAGATTTCCTTGAAGGCCTTGCCCGGCCCCCCCTCCCCTCTCCATGCAAATACATTTGCCAGGGTCTAAGACATCTTTCAACTTACCACTTGGGGTCACCGTACGGTTTTGGGACCTGGGTCGTTCTCCGAGGATGACTCGGACGACTGGGCCCGCAAGGGTCCCAAGGCCGTGCGGTGACGGACCATGATGTGAGGTCCTTCGGAAGTTCGAGGCCAGCGCACGGTCTGTCACAGCACGGTCTTGGGGCCACCCGAAGGGCCCAGGCAGGCCCGAGGCGAAGACATGGCTCGACTTATGGCCGCCGCCGGAGGCGGGGAGGAAGGGAGGGAGGGAGGGAGGGAGGGAGAGAGGGAGGGAGGGAGGGAGGGAGGGAGGGAGGGAGGGAGGAGGAGGAGGAGGAGGAGGAGGAGGAGGAGGAAGAGGATGGCGCGCTGGCGACGCCGGCGAAGGCGTTCGAGGTTCAATGCCGGATGATGAGACGACGCGGAAGCACCAAGGGGCGCAGTAACGCCACAGGACCCGACGGAATTTATTGTTGAACGATGGGGGCCGCGATCGGTTCAAGTTTGAGCAATCGACACGGAGTCAAAGGCTTTGACGTGCATGGAGCGTGTTTTCTTTGACCCTTTGGGCCATAACGCGCGTTTTGCCCCCTAGCCTCCCCCCTTCCTCCCTCCCCCATGAAGCCATAACGTAACGCTCCCCCCCTCAGTGCATCCCCTCCCGGCACTGCTGCAGTGCGTTTGGCGCCACAGTCTGGGGAGGGGGGTTGCACTACGTGATCGCCCCCCCCTTCCCCCACCATTAGGCCCGTTATGGCCGCGAAAAGAAACGTGCGTTCCTGTGGCCCGAAAGCCAGCCTTCCAAAGTACTGAATCATACTAAGTCGGGCAAGTCCCTTCACAGGTGGAATACTCAAGAATAGTGAAACAGCAACAACATCTGGGGACGATCTCTCGTGCTGTTGGGATGTGTTTTTGCCTGTATCTTTGGCTACTGCTGTTTTTCTCGCAACACCCGCCTGCAGGAGTCAGCGAGCGAAGAACGGTACAAAATAAACCGTTTCGCTGTCGGGGGTGCCTGCCCCTGGGCGGCTGGAAAGCTTCTACCCCCACGGTGCCACCGTAAGGGTATAGACTCTCCAGCCGCCCTGGGGCAGGCGCTCCCCGACGGCGAAACAGTTTATCTTATACCGTTCCTTCGCCCGTTAAAAAGGAGGACATGCCCGACCCAAGGCGGCTGCCGTGCGGAGCTGTCTCGAGGACGACTCGTTCCGGCCCGGGCCGCCCTCGCCGGGCCCCCGAGGGGGGGCCGGCGAGACACGAAGGCCCCGCCGCGGTGGAGAGCCACCGCCCACCGGGCCACCCCAACACGGCCCCGGGGGGCCCCGACGTCGGAACCGGGAAGAGAGAGAGGAGGAGGAGGAGGAGGAGGAGGAGGAGGAGGTGTCCCTCTACAGGAGGAACGTCCCAAAAAAGTCAGGGCACGATGTTTTAGAAGAACTTTGGACCCTTGTGGGATATTGCTGGGTATTCTTAACTTTGTCGCCCAAAATATCCCCCTGTAGGGGGACACGCCCGACTTAACATTACCAGTGGCGGGCGGTGTTTCAATCCCAGGACTTTTGGAGGGTCGGGGACGGCGTCGGGGTGGTGTTGTTTATACTGCTTTTTCCTTGCTTTCCCTGGACGAACAACGAAACATGTATACACCAGGATCCCGTATACACCAGGATCCGATTTTCCTATGCGAGTGTCAGTGCGGGGTCGGGAAAAGCGTCGGTGTACATAGAGTTCGGCTCCTTACGATATGCCCTCCATTTCCAGTGAGGGGGGGGGAGTCGGGGAGCATCGAAGAACACATGTGGAGCCCGTACGGTACGGGCTGCGGGTGTGGGTACTACCCACACCCGCAGCCCGAAATTTGCGCCCTCGGGTTGGTTGGGGTGGTTTGGCAGATAGTCAGACAGGGTCGCGGATCCAGAAAAACAGGGTCTCGGAGTCCGATGGTCTCGATGCTCTAAGTCCCAGACATCAGAGTCCGATGCCCTGATTCTTCCCAGGCAGCAGTGCCCAGGCATCCGATGTTCGGCTGTCTGGGACTCGCTCGCCGGCTCTTCTGGAATGCTCTCGGCGCATCTCGGGACGCTCCGGAGCGGCCGCGGCGCCCAGCCCGTCCTCCGATCCAGCCGGATCCCATATGCTTCCGATGTATACATATGTATATATATATATACATATACATAGATGTGTACTTGTATATAGATATATAGAGAGAAGCAAAAAGAAATAGATAAAGAACTAAAAACATAACTATAAAGAGAGACATATGCACACACACATATATATGTATATGTGTGCATATGCATATCTATACATATATGTGTAACTATGCATATCACTCAGATTTTAGCTTCCGCCGCCCAGGGCCTCGACGCCGTCGCCGCCGCCGTGGTCGCTCTCGTCGTCTCCGCCGTCGTCGTGGCTGGCTGTCGGCCGTTCTCTTCCAGTGGTGCTGCTGCCGGCGGGTGCCCGGCGCCCACCTCGGCAGCAGCAGCGACGGGGCGAGAAGCGAAGAGGCTTCCGTCGCTTTCGTTCTGCCAGGGGGAGCAGGAGGAGAGCAGGAGGGGGGAGGAGTCGGGGGAGGAGGAGGGGGAGGAGGAGGAGGAGGAGGAAGAGGAGGAGGAGGAGGGGAAGGAGGAGGAGGAGGAGAGGAGGAGGAGGAGGAGGGGAGGAGGAGGAGGGGAAGGAGGAGGAGGAGGAGGAGGGGAAGGAGGAGGAGGAGGATGAGGAGGAGAGGAGGAGGAGGAGGAGGAGGAGGAGGAAGAGGAGGAGGAGGAGAGGGGGAGGAGGAGGAAGAGGAGGAGGAGGAGGAGGAGGAGGAGAGGAGGAGGGGAGGAGGAGGAGGAGGAGGGACGGGGGGAGGGATGGGGTAGCGGCCATGCGTGGTTACTCTATCATGTGGGGTGTTGTCGCCTGATCACAACGAGGAGTGTTGCCGTGTCGACCCTGCGTGGGGAATCTGGACATTGGATGCAAGCTGCCAGCCGTGAGCCCGCGCGAAGGCTTGCGAGGGGGGGGCAGGAAGGGGGGAAGAGAAGGACTAAGGAGGACGGACGACGACGACGACGAAGACCTCCCTTGCGTGGGCTGCCCAGTGGCCCCATCGGCTGGCCGACGCCTCCTGGACCAGCGGGGCCGCCTCGAGGGCCGGGCGTGCCCGGGCCCCCGCGCGCCGGAGTACCAGCAGGACCTCGCCCCCAGCAGGGGCTCGGCCCGCGCAGGCCGCAACAAGTCGACCACGCGCAGAGGGGGGTAGGTGGAGGGGGGGCTTCTTTGAAGCACCCCTGCTTCTTAGAAGGCGCGGGCCTTCTCTATAGATGTAAGGCCGGCGCCTTCTAAGAAGTAACCTCCTTCTAAGAAGCCCTCCCCCGTCCCTCCACCCTCTTGTGCGCACCGCCAATCAAGACTTGCCCGCGAGAGGGCCTGGTCTTCGACGCCGTAGCTGAAGGTCCGACGCTTCAATCAAAAAGTATTGGAGCGGGCGGTTCTTGGGCCGTCGTCGCCCGCCGGGGGGCCCTCGTGCCGGGGCTCGGGAGTGCAAAGCAACGACCCATGGGACGACAAAGGGAAGTGGTCCGGAGCTCCGGGGCCCAGGCATCGAAAAATTTGGAGCGGCAGGAGATCTGGGAACAAAACGAGACAACGCGTGCTCGGGGGTTGGGTCTCCAGAGGGAGGGGATCGAGGGATCCAGGAGGGCTTGAGGTTCGATCGAGGATCCTCGCGAGGGGAACGTTCTCGGGGCCCTCGGCGGGGCGATCACGCATATGATGGGACCAGGGCGGAGGATGTGAAGGGGCCAGGAGGGCTTGGGGGCCGTGCATTGGAAGAAAAACTCGTCGTCCGATGCCTGGGGGAGTAGGGTCCTCAGGTTTTGCATCGTTTTCGGCATCGCACGGCACTTCCTGGGCCAGAGAACGGCAGAGGAGGAGGCCAAGGGAGAAGTAG